GAATGACCGCGTGGTCGATCCGCACACAAAAGCGCACCCTACACCTGCATCCGTCTTCGAACCATCTGTATAAGTCATCTTGTACCCGTCAAAGGAGGCCATGTGCTCTAAAGCTGCGCCTTTGAGTTCCGCCATGAGGACATGTTGCTTTTGCATATTTGATAGAGAGACATCCACTCTTGGCGATGCTAGCTCCCAAGGAGCAGTCTCCATGGGTTTAGGTCTGATGACACGCCGTAGGTTCAGGCCGCTCGCATCTAAAAGCTCTCTCATTCGTACACAGAAGGGAGAAGTTTTAGGTGACCGTTGACGTAGGAAAAGTCTTCGTAAGCTACGCGAAAACACTGCTTTGTAGGTGGGATGATCTGGGAACTGCGCCAGCTTGCACGTGTAGCGCAGTCCCAGCATCTGCCTTCGCAATGCTAGTGGGGGCTCGTGAGCCTCCACCAGAAGACTGTCTATGGGCGATGTCCGAAAAGCCCCTGTGGCGATACGGAGTGCGGCGTGATGCACCGTGTTCAGAGTACGTTTGATCAGGTCTGATGAGCTGTCGTAGATAAAACAGCCGTAGTCAAGTTTTGAACGAATCAGGGAGCGGTATAGGAGTAAGAGTGTCCTCCTATCAGCACCGTATGACGTACGTCCCACGCACCTTAGGATGTTAAGAGATTTTAAACATTTGTCGCGGAGATTTCTGATGTGCTCACGGTACGTTAGGCGTCGGTCAAAGCGTATACCGAGAAATTTCGCGGTATTCTCATTGGCGACGCGTTCCCCATACAGCCTGATTTCCATATCAGGACAGTGACGGCGACGACGACAGAAATGAACTGCAGTTGTCTTCGATGTAGAAAACCGGAAACCGTTGAGCACACTCCACTTCTCCAGACGTGTGACAGCCAGCTGCAGCTGTCGCTCCATCGTGCGAGTGGTCGATGAGCTACACCAAATAGCAAAGTCGTCTACAAACAGGGAACGGCTGATCCCATGTGGAAGCGTGTCCCCTATGTCGTTTATCATCACTGCGAAAAGAATGACACTTAATACGCTGCCCTGAGGCACACCATTGTCCTGTGGAAACCGGTCGGATTGATAAGAACCAACACGCACCCGAAAGAATCTGTCAGTCAGAAAGTTTTGTAAAAACTTTCCCATGTGACCACGGATGCCACAATCGAGTAACTTCATCATAATTCCATGTCTCCATGTGGTGTCATAAGCTTTTTCTATGTCAAAGAAGATGGCGCCGGTATGACGCTTGCTACTAAATCCGGCTCGCACTGCGGTATCAAGAGTTAAGATGTGGTCAATCGTGCTCCTGTTCTTACGGAATCCGCACTGAGCATTCGTGAAAAAGTTCTGGCGTTCTAAAGTCCACGAGAGCCGCACATTCACCATTCTTTCCATGAGCTTACAAAGCGAAGATGTGAGGGCGATCGGGCGGTAGTCAAGAGCGTTCGTCCCACTTTTCCCGGGCTTTAAAATAGGCACTACTATTGCCTCTCGCCAGATTGGCGGGAAGTAACCTGACACCCATATGCAGTTGAAAAGTGCCAGCAACGCTCGTAGTACACGGGGAGGAAAATGCCGTATCATATCATTGTGGATGAGGTCGGGCCCCTCCGCTACACTACGCAGCGAGCGAATGGCCGCTTGAAGCTCCATCATAGTGAAATGTTTGTTGTACGTCAGGACGTCATCTGTACAAAAATTAACCTGCGAAGTTTCACATCGTGCCCTGTGCCGCAAAAACCGCGGATCGCAGGTGCCATTTCGGCAACGGTCTGACAGGGCTTCCCCAATGGCTTCTGCCACATCACTTGGGTGGGTGATGTCTTGACTTCCCACTCGCAGTACGGGAAGAGAAACTGCTGGATGCAGTCCAGCGATTCGCTTAATGCGGCCCCAGACCTGTGACGTCGGCGTGTGGCGATTTAGTAAATTGACGTAGCTGCGCCATGATGCACGTTTCGCCTCTCGTATAGTGTGGCGTGCGGCCGCGCGTGCTTGCCTGAAAGCCAAGAGGTTTAATGTGCTGCTGTGCCGGTCAAAAGCCCTAAAAGCTCTCCGACGTGCACGAATAGCGTCGCGACACTCGTCGCTCCACCAAGGTACAGGGGTACGACGAGGGCATCCGGAGGTGCGCGGAATGCATCCTTTCGCCGCATCCAACACGAGAGACGTAAATTCCTCCGTAGTCGGAGTTGCAGAGTCGAAATCGTTGGAAAACGTTTCGTCCAGGCGAGTCTCAAATCCCCTCCAGTCCGCCTTCTTGAAATTCCAACGCTGAGGTCGAGTACCAAGAACAGCACCACCACGGTACCGAACCCAGACCGGAAAGTGGTCACTTCCAAGGGGGTCCTCTGAAGCATCCCAGGTGAAGTGTGGTACCAACTGCGGACTACAAATGCTCAGGTCTAGCACCGACGATTGTCCGGATGGCAATGTAAAATGCGTTCTTGATCCTGTATTTAAAACGCACAGACCTTCGTCACGCACGAGAGCCTCACATAGCCTCCCGCGAGTGTTCGTGGAAGCACACCCCCACACAGTGTGATGTGCATTAAAATCGCCTAAAACGAGTAGAGGGGGAGGGAGTTGAGAGACTAACTCTCGTAGTCCTCCAGATGGAAATGAAACCCCAGGTGGCAAGTAGAGAGAGCAGACAGTTATGGTGCGGCGGTTGAAATTCACCGTTGCTGCGACAGCCTGCAAGTCTGTTCTCAACACCAGACGCCGCGTAGGTACGCTTTGGTGTACAGCCAAAAGAACGCCACCGTAAGCAACGGTATCTGTTGGCATGTCAGTGCGGAAGGTAGTGTACCCTTTCAGGCCGAAGGCCGCATCAGGCGCCAACTTGGTCTCCTGGAGACACACGGCTACCGGGCAGTGCGCGCTTAAAACTGTCTGCAAGTCCTGGGTGCTTGACCTTACACCTCTACAGTTCCACTGTAAAACTGACTGAATGAGGAGGCTTTAAAAGCACTGTAAGGTTTTAAAAGAACTCAGCAGCGCTAGAGCCTGGCCCATGGTTGTGGGTTTTGTCGTCAGAACCCGAAGAGATCGGGCGGATCCTGGGTCGGATCCGGGGACTACCGCCATCTGTTGGCGAAATCGGCCCCGGCGGTCCACGCTTTTCCGGACGCCCCGTCCTAAACTGAGCCGGCGCCGGCGACGCCGTGGTCCTAGGCGGCGGTGGTGGTGGAGCACCCATAGACGGGTCTCTCCGCGAGTCGGAGGGGCCTGAGGGAGCTTCCACACGCTTTCGGGGAGGTGGGACTACCTCCCCCGTGGGAGCAGGCCCGGGGCCCGCACCCGACAGCCGACTGGCTGCCTTTGCCCTCTCCTGCTCCTGAAGGCGTGCACGCTTTGCCTCGCGCGCCCGTCTCTCCGCCTCTTGGCGCTCAAGGTTGTCCAGTTTCCGACCCATCGTCTCACTCAGGGTTGTAGGACGTGATGCTCCTGGGGAGGACGGCTGTGAAGCCGGTGATCGCGCGCTTACTGGCGAAGACCGAGAGGTTCGGCCCCGGCGGGCCACGGTCCACTCATTGCTTTCGGCTGGTGTGGGGTGGGGCGGCGAGGTAACAACTGGCGCGCTGGCCTGTGCCTCAGAGGGGGCACAAGGTGCCAACGAGACGGGGGACGACAGTGTTGCCGATGCTGTGGCGTGCACCTGAGACGCCGGTACAACCGACAGCCCGAACGATGTAAGCAGTTTAATGAACTGCGATCCAGTCATCTGGTCTAAGGAGACCTCAGGTGGGACATGGGCCTTGGCCGCCGTGGCATATGATGTCTTGGGGTGGCTCAGTTCATATAAGTCCCTTGCTTCCCGAAATGAGATGTTCTTCGTGGTTTTTAGTGCGATGATCTCCTTCTCTCTGGCGTACGCCGGGCATGCGCGATCAAAAGTGGAGTGAGGTTTCTGGTTTTTCCCACAGTTCACACACCATGGGTTCGCTGCAGTGCATTGATCGCTCGGGTGCTCCGGAGAAGCACACTTGCCACATGCTGGCTGGTTGCGGCAGAAATCTCTCGTATGTCCAAACATTTGGCACTTAAAACATCTCATGGGGTTCGGAATAAAAAGGCGCACCTTTACCTTCACATAGCCTACCCTTACTTCAGATGGTATGTCAGGACGATTAAAAGTCAGCACAATGTTGTTCGTGGGGACCAGCTCCGCACCTCTGCGCACCTTGATGCGGCGAGCATCCGTTACCCCGAACTCAGCGAGACCGTCGATTATCTCCTCATCACTGACATCTCTCAGGTCAAAACAGTTCATGATACCCTTTGACGAGTTATTTGTCCTATGGACCTCCACGCCAGCTATCTGTGCTCGCGGCTCTACATTGGTCATGCACGTGGGTATACGGCTGGTTTTGTTCTCAGTTTCAGGTCGGCGAGGAAATCCAAGACCGTCCAGACACATTTCAAGGAGACAATGGCCTATTCTTGCAGCCTATAAGCGCAAACATCTATCAAGAACTTACCAAGGAATGTTTTGGAATGGACTCTATCTTGTATCCGGCAAAGGTTTGTGAGTGCTCACTGGCTTGCTGTCTTTCAACATCCCATTAGCAACAACACCCAACATCCTATTTCTAACATCTGATTGCCGAGCCAAGATTCTTTTGTCAAGCTGGCTGCTGGTTTTGGAAAGCAGATTGTCAATATTACTCCATTTAAGACTTACCCAATTTTATTGTTTTTTGACTTCCAACACTAACTCCCAGGTTCATTTAGTATAAAGTTCGTTACAAGTGCAATCCCGCCGTTGTTGTCGATGATGCGCTCGGCTAGGAGTCGTAGAACTGCCTTGATGTCAAGATCACGTGTATACGCATGCGCGAATAACCCTATTGAGTATTGTGTGCACCTCCCATCTGGACTGGTTGTTCGTGGAATCACGGGGCGAGTTTAACCGTCAGGATCCGGCCACAACGAAGCTTCTTTTAGAGAAAGGCATATTGGAGGCAAGCGTCTCGTGGGTGATG